TCCGGGGAGGGGATTACCTCGGATTAAAGGCTGGCGGACAAGCTGTCTCCTAATTGGGGTGTGCTGGAGCATGGTCCACTAGCCCCCTGAGCCCCTCACCCCTGGGGGCCAGGACACTCCACCCATGTCCACCGACTAAGCAAATGCCCGTGGTGTGGCCAGCAGTGATCCAGGGGGCCTGGTGGGAGGGGGCAGGCCCTGGAGTGGGGAGCAGGTCCTTCAAATGGCCCCTATTGGCATGCAGTGGAGGTGGGGAGGGGTTCTTGGGTTAGGGAGGTGTCCAGGCACTGACCTCAGCCACCTGGCTTCTTTCTCCAGATAAATGCTTGGATGGGGCCAAGTAGGTGAGTGCAGGTGGATTGTGGGCCGGCTCCGCCCCAGGTAGCCAGCCCTTCCCTTGTGCCCTCCTCCACTCACTCACTCATTCACCTCACTCACTCCTCCACACACTCACTCATTTATTCACTCACTCACTTAGTCACTCCTTCACTCACTCATTCATTCACTATTCACTCGCTGATTTACTCACTCACCTCAATCACTCCTTACGCACTCATTCACTCACTTATTCACTCACATACTCACCCACCCACCCACTCACTCAGTTATTTACTCACTCACTCACTCACTCACTCATGCAGGCTGGTACACAGTATCCCAAAGGTCCCCTGGGACTTCAGCTGGGAGTCAGAGTCAGCCTCGCCCCAAGTTCCGGGGGCTCCAGCGGGGCAGGGCTGGGGTGGGGATACTCAGCGGCTCTGGAATGGGGGGCAAAGAGGGAAGCCCAACAGCCAGGATGGGTGGGCTCCAGGGAAGTGGAAGGAAGTGGAGCTGGGAAGGACCTCCTAGGGGCAGGTGGGGTGCCGAGTGCCTGCCCACCAGACAGCCCTGCTCTCCTGTCCAGGCCACCCGGCCTCCCAGCACGCCCCCACCTGCCTGCTCCACGCTTTCCTCCAAGACCCACGGAGATGCTTCGAGACCCAGCCTCCCGAAGCCGCCACCTCCTGGCTCTTGTTCTGCTGAGAAATAAAAGCCATTGCAGCCCCGCGCCAGCCCCGAGTCCCTCTGTCTGTGCAGCCTCCGACGACCCCTGAGTCCCTCTGATCCCTGGGGAGCCTGGCTTTGTGCCCCATATCACCACCAAGAAGGAAGACAAAGACACAAAGACCACCCCTTGTTCCCGGTGGGGAGGGGGCCAACAGGACAGCTGAGGAAGAGCTGCCCCCCACACTTGCCCCACCCCTGTGCCCTCACCACCCACTCCCTCCTGTTGCCAGCTGTAGCCAGGCCTGTCTGGGCTTGGGGCAGCCCTGACCAGAGTGCCCATGCCACCCCTGGCCCTGCATGAAAAGTTCTAGCCCTCAGGCATGTGCCCTGCCTGCCTGCCGCCCCTCTGCCAGGAAAGCCTCCATCCCGGGCTGTGCTTACACAGAGGCTGGGTGGGGGGTGGGTTTCTGGGGATAAGGAGGGAGATGGCTGTCCTCTCCCAAGTGGGACACCCTCTGGTCACCTGTGCGCACCCCCACCCACACACCCCAAGCGGGCCTCAAGAACACACCACTCTGCCCAGCACACTCTGGCCATGGTGACTCTGGGTGCCCCCACACCCTGTTCTACCACCCCCAGCTTCCTGGCCACATGGTGCCCCCTCCCAGATCCCCGTCCTGGGTCACGACATGTGGCCCTGATCTGCCCACAGGGCCGCTGAGGGGCAGAGCCCGGCCCAGCCTGCATCCCCACCAGGGTGAGGCCCAGGAAAGCATGAGTTGGGCAAGCCACCAGAGGGAGGGCCTGGGGCGGAGCCAGCATGGGCCCTGCTCCTTGGAGGTCTTGGAGCAGTGCGCTGCTCCAAGGTGGGTGGGTGAGTGGCAGGCCGGCCCTGTCTCAGAGGCTGGCAGAACCATGTAACCCACCCCCAGGAGGAAATCCGGGGAGGGGGCAGGTTGGGATGGGTGGAGGGCAGCAGTGCCAGGGTGCTGCAGGGTGCAATTGGATAGCGGGCCTATCTGAGTGGGCACCCTCCCAGGACAGCGGGCCAGTGCCCTGGGGCATCTTCAGGGGCATAAAGGCCACGGCCTGGGCCAGCCACCCCAGCTCTTCCACCTGCCGGCTCTCCTGCCCTGTCACTGTCCCACGCTGCCGACCTCCACCATGCTGCAGGCTGTGCTGACCACCACCCTCCTGGGCCTGCTCTGGGCCACTCCAGGCCAGGGACAGGTCCCTGCCCAGGCCAACTTTGATGCCAGCCAAGTATGTCCTGCCATCTGACCCTGCTCTCTGATGACTCTCCATACGGTGTCCCTGTTGCTGTACCTCAGAGCCGGCCCAGGGCTGGGAAAGAGGAATTGTAGCTGCTTCCCAGCTCGGGGTTAGGGGTGAAGGCACAGAGGCTGCTCCCCAGCTCGGGGTGAGGGGTGAAGGCACAGAGATTGTAGTTCCTGGGGAAAGCCGAGAGCCACCAAGATCGGGGTTGGGGAGGGCCCCAGGTGCTTGCCGAGCCTCCTCACAGCTCCCCCTGCTCCGGCCTGTCAGTTCCAGGGCATTTGGTTCGTGGTCGGGATCGCCTCGGATGACCAGGGCTTCCTGGAATCCAAGGACAACATGAAGATGCCCGTGGTCTCAGTGACCTCCAAGCCCAACGGTGACCTGGCTGTCAAGTTTGGGTACCCCATGTAAGTGCCCCAGGAGCTCCCGCCAGACTTTAGGCAAGGGCCAGGGTGGTCATGAGCCCGGTGTGCCCTTGTGCACTTGGGCCAGACCCACCCACAGGACCAGGTGTCCACCTCCTCTCTGGGCTACTTCAGCCCAGTGGGGGCCACTTCCCACCTCCCCAGAGTGACTGGGTTCCTGGGGGCATCTTCAATGGGGGGCTCAGTGTTGAAACTGCGTGTGTGTGTCTGCCTGCCTGTGTATGTGTGTATGAGTGTGTCTGTATCTCTCTGCCTGTCTGGGTGTGTAACTGGAGGAGTGACCCCTTCACTCCCTTCTGAATGTCTCCTGCCTAGAGGGGACCAGAAGGAGCTGTGTCCCTGGAAAAGTGCTGGGAGGTGAATCAGGGGCTCAGGTGGTGCCGGGCTGTGTCCGAGGTCTGGCCAGGGTGCGAGGGGTGGGCTGCCAGGAGGGCTGCTGCACTGCTGCTCAGGGCTCGGTGGCCTCCTCCACAGGCCAGATGGTGGATGCCAGAAGGTGGACACAACCTTCACCAAAGGACCCACAAATGGGGAATTCAGCAATGCAGGTGAGGGCCGAGGGTGGGCGGGCTGCAGCGTGGTGGGCTGGGGGCTGGCGAGGCCTCTACACGGGCCCACAGGGCACCCTGTGGAGCGCTCCGGCTCAGCCCTTGCTCACCTCCAGCCATGGCACAGACGGACATCCGGGTGGTGGAAACCGACTACAACCACTTTGCCGTGATGCTATTCCAGACGGACAAGGGCGGTGTCCACAGCACGTGGCTGCAGCTTTATGGTGGGTGCCCCGCCCCAGCCCCTGCTGCGGTGGGTGCCCAGACCCTGGCCCCTAGGCCCCCCACTGTGGTGGGTGTCTCTCATGCTCCCTGAATCCCCCAGCCCCCCGGGCACAGCTAGGTCTGCTCTGGGCATGCTCCACCACATTTCAGAATGCTCTGACTTTGTGGGGTAGAAGCACTGGCTCCTTGAGTCTTCTGGGGCCCTCAGAGTCCGAGGCGGGGGTCCAGTTGCTTCCCCACTGCCTCACCGGTGCCCCCCACACCCACAGCCCGGGCCCCTGAGCTGTATCCACAAGGCGCCCAGAAGATGCAAAAGCTGGCGCCTGAAGTGGGCCTAAACCCCAGCCAGGGCGCCCTGCTGCCCAAGTCAGGTGAGCACCACCTTGCCCTCAACCCAGGGACTGGGGACTCTGAGAGAGCAGGCAGAGCCATGCCCTGAGCCCCATGTGGGCTGCCCCCAGGAGGGGCGGGAGGCTGTGGGGGCACGTGGGTCTGGGGAAGGGGCACGGGGGTCCTCAACCTCCTTCTCTCCGCAGACGAGTGCACCCAAGCCTTCCCCCAGGTGAGTGTGGGTGCCCCCCACCACTGAAGGGAGCCCTTCCCTCCCTCCTGGGGCTCCCGAAAGTCCCTCTTGCTGGGCTGTGGGTGTCATAACTTAGGGCACAGGTGTCAGGGGAGGGGGGCGTTGTCCCAGGATGGGTGGTCCTGCCGGGGGAGCCACTGACCTCATCCCACTTGCAGTGAGCAAGCCCACTAAGAAGCTGAAGTCTGGGGTCTCTGGATGTCGACTCCTCGATGACCACCCCACTTTTCGACACCCCCCTTCCCCCGCTTAGCATAATAAAAGGGTTCCTAAAGCCAGTTGTGGTGTGTTTCTTGGCGGGGGGGGGGTGGGGGTGGCTGGAAGAGGGGCTGGTGCAGCTTTGGGGACCCAGGGTCAGCCATGACTACCCCACCAGTAAGCAAGCAGTGACCGGCTATCCTGTCCCCCCACCATGGGCCTGAAGGGTGAGCTAGGTGCCAACCCCTGTGTCCCCTGTACAGCCGGCAGGCACACCTGCAGCCCCGACAACCTTCCTCTGTGCAGTGGGGTCCTGGAATCTGGCGCCCCTGCCAGAAGCGTGGGCAGCCCACCCTTTCCCTGTGACTTGAAGCCATGCCCTGGAGATATTGGGGCCCAAACACCACAAATCGACCCAAGCGATGGCCACGGAGTCGATTCTGACCACGGTGCTGCAGGCCGGAGCAGCCGTCTGCACTGGGCAGAGAGCCTCCTCTTTCTCCCCACCCCCTTGGAACCTCAGACATCGTGGTTAACAGTCCCATGCTTAACCCATGGCACCACCAGGGCTCCTGAGCACACCTTTAGCCACTGCCGCTGAGTCCATTCGGATCCCTGGTGACTCCGTGGGACAGAGCAGGACTGTCCAGTGGTTGTGTGTGAGACTGTCAGCCTTTGGGGGAGCCACAGTCTTATTGGTCTCGGAGGAGGGGCTGGCTGATCTGAACTGCAGACTGTGTTTAGCAGCCCAAAGCCCAACCCATGGGGCACGCAGGGCTGCCTACAGAGCATGGTCCTGTGGACAGATGCCGACTCTTAGCAACCCTGTAGGACAGGGTACCACGGCTCCTGTGGGTCTCCTAGATACTTAACTCCTAAAGGGAGCAGGAAGCCTAGTCTTCCTCCTGCTTAGCAGTTGGTGGCTTTGAACTCCTGACCTTGTGGTTATCACAGGTTCCTTGATTCAGTCAGTCCTGTAGTTCAACAGAAAGTTCCTCAGACTGTCAGATGTCAGACCAGTGCCCAGTCTGTCTGGGTGTAGCTGTGAGATTCAGCCACCAGCCTTTCTCATCAGAAGTGAACTCCGGCCTCTTGCTTTTCTTCAAGGGGCCCTCTGGGCTGGGGGTCCCTGCACCACGTCCTCGCCCCTGGCCTCTGGTACCAGCGTGGAAATGGGAGCCTTGTGCACACCCACCGGTGACCCTGCGCTCTGCCTTGGGCCCTTGCACCCAAGGTGTGGGCTCCGATCTTAGAGAAGGCTGGGCTTGGAGAAGGGGTCCTAGATGCCCACGGGGACCACCTCTCTTGAGAAGGGGTCCGAACTGGTCAGAACCCTGGAGGGGGCACCCCTTGGACGGGGCAGCCACCTGCACTTCAGCCCCACCCGTCTGGTCACGCACTGCCTAGCTCTGGCCAGCTGGGGGCAGCCTTAAACCAGCGTACCAGCCAGGTAGCCCTGGCTCCTGATAGGTCTGCCCCTGGCCACACCTGCCTCAGGGCCTTGTCTCTGCTGGGGAGACCCTAACCGTCCCGTGGTACTGACCCCATGGCGGGTGGTAGCAGGCTGAAGGAGCTCACAGCACACCTGGAGAGAAGTGTGCTCCCTGCCTCTGTGGACCCACGGCTCACCCCGCTCCGGGCTGGGGTGGCAGAGAGGAAAGAGAAAGTGCCCCCCACCCCCTCACCGCACGCCTGGGAAACATGGGTTGGAGACACCTGTCTGTCCTTGCCACCTGAGGGGCACTGACCTAGCGAAGCTGGCGGCTCTGCCTGAGGTTAGTAGGCTGGTTGATCACGCCCCGCCCTTAGGGTCATCAAATCAAATACTTGTGAGCAGCACCCTTACCCTAGCCCTTCCTGGTCACTGGCAGCCTGACCCCTGCGAGCAGGGTCACTGCTCAGGCCTCGTACCCCTTCAGGCATGCTTTCTCTCTCCCTTTGGCTGGGGACCCCCAATCCTTGACCGGTCTCCTCCCTCCCTGGCTGCCCCTTCCCGGAATCCTTTGCTCATCACCTGCCTGGTCTCCATGTTGTGGGCGTGTCCTTCTTCCTTCACTAGCCCCCTCGGTGCCCGGCTGCTTGGAGACACCCTGGCCTTCCTTGTCGGGTGGCCCCCACAGCCCCAGAAACCCGTTGCCTTCTGGGAGGGATTAAGTTGTGTGGTCCGTTCAGTATGAATTCTGCTGATGTAATAATCGTCCTCCGTTTTGCAATCTGATGTAAAGGCCCCCCGGGGTGGTCCATCTCATCCCTGTGATGGTCACGAGGCAGGATGGATGCCATCCACAAGATCTGGCTGCCTTGCAGTCAGTCTTTTTGGAGATACACAAGGGATTAAGTAACAATGGGAGCAGAGATGAGAGGGGCCTCATTCAGTACATGGAGAATCAGGCCACTTCCTTTGGACCCAGGTTCCCTGTGCTGAGAACCTCCTAGAGCCACTGGAAGAGGGATGCCAGACACTCGGAGTTCTCCAAGGGAGACCAGGACCTTCCTCTGCAGCCCACGGCAGAGAAACCCTTGTCCTGGAGTCGGAGCTATGGGTGTGGATTACACCTCTCTGTTCCTTAAAGCCAGGCCCTACTTGTGGTTCAGTTATGGCAGCGTCTCTGTCCAGACTCATCGAGGCCTGCAGGACAGAAAAGAACTTCCCCACAAGAGCAGACGGCCGTGGGACGACTCCTGGGTTTGAATCCCTTGCTGTGTGGTTAGCAGCCGGGCGCTCAGCCACTGTGCCACTCCCCAGGGGCTTTCACCTGCCCCCCACCCCCAGTGAGTGAGTCTGGGTGCCAAGCTCTGTGGATGGCCCAATAGTTTGTCTCGTGCAGTCATTCCTGCATACATCTCTTACGTTTTGATTTGTTGGAAATGAACTTCTATGGCACTAAAGGATTCAAGTCCACCTCCTTTTTACTTTTGCCCCTTTGATAGGCACTCAGGTGAATGTGTAGATCCCAGGTGAATGTGTAGATCCCAGGTGAGGACTATGGAGGGTTCTGAAGGCTATGAACCCTCACCCTGTATCTCTTGTAACTATTTATTTGGCTTTTAAAGGAAACCATTCTGTGTGGTTGCACAGCCGATCTTACCAAATCAGGAGCAACTTGAGCCATGGAGTCAGCTCTGGCTCCCGGGGTCTTTTCCTCCTCCTGCCCTGCCCACGTCCTCTCAGTCTTGTCCTATGGTCCAGAGCCCTCTTTTCCTTTTCTTTGTTTTTCTTTCTAGTAACAGTGTCTTTAAATATTTGTCTTTCTGAGGTTGACTGACTTTGCTAAGTATAATGTTCTCTAGTTTTGTCCACGTCTTATTTAAGCTGGTTGTCATTGTTTTTATTGGCACGTAATATCCTCGTGTATGAATGTACCAGTTTGCTTATCCATGCCTCCGGTTTTGGCGTGTGGGGTTGTTGCCCTGTTTCTTATTATGGAAAGTGCTACCGTGAGCAGAGGTGTGCATGGGCCTGCTTGGGGCTGATTTCTTTAGGGCATCACCCAGTGGAGACTGCAGGATCAGAAGGTCGTTGTATTTGCATTTGTCAGGACTCGCCATATTGATTTCTGTGATGACTTTACAATTCTACAATCCCACCAGCAATAATGAGTGTTCCAAATCTCTCCACATTTATGACTTTTGAATTTTGTGCTTGTCGGTGTGAGGTGGTATCTATCTCGTTGTTGTTTTAAGTTGTATTTCTTTTGTTGCTGATACACTGAAATGTAGATTTTTCGTTTTCCTTTGGAACCACTTTTGTTTCCGGCCCCTATCGCTGTAGCATCCTGCTACTGCGGTCATACCAGGCTCTTAAAATGACATGTTAATTTGCATATTTCTGGGGACCACACAATTCCTCTGGGGCCCAAGGGAGAAGCTTTCCTGGCCTCCTCCATGTCTGGGCTGGGGAACACAACATGCTATACTTGTGACACACCATGGGTGGGGCAGGAGAGGTCACATGGCTGCATTCACCCCCACCCCCACTGCCCCCCCAGTGTTCCCATGCACCCTGCTGGGTGTGTGGTCATTCAGCCCACCCTTCTGTCACCTTTTCCTGGGCCCTGAACGCTGTACCTGGAGGGACCAGTGGGCTCCAGACCCCACCCCAATTCTCCTCTCCACCCATGCTCCCCTATACTGAAGCTCCGAGCCCCCAGTTCACCCCATGACCTCCAAACGCACCGCGGTGTCCACAAGGCCAAGGTGGGCGCTCTAGTTCTAATCAAGCCCGATCGTCCATAGTCCCCCCGCCCCACCCCCAGTGTGCCCCGCCGGGAATGGGGGGAACGAAGGACTGAATGAATGAGCACGTGCCGTCAGCTGGGTTCACGCTCCTCTGTATTTGACACATGTTGCAACCGGTTTTAGGGAGCTTCGCCTTTGAATGGAAAGATGGCGTGAGAAACCCGGACGGGCCAGTTAACTGGGCGCTGAGCCGCAGGGGCGAAGCAGCGGGGTGGTGGCTGGCGGGGGCGCGCAGGGGGGGGATACTGCCTCTCGGCCCCGTGCAAGCTCTGCCCTGCTCAGCAAGCCCCGCCCATAGGGCAAAGACCACGCCCAGACTTCAGGACCCCCCACCTACCCTGAGCAGGCTCCCCAACCTCCCTCCGACACCGGAAGCCGTCCTTACTGCGCAGGCGCCACAGCCCGCGGCCGGGCTCCCTCGCTCCTTCCGGGCTCCTGAGCCCCGCCCCTTCCAGGTCTGTCCCCAGGCCGAGGTGTCATGGTGCCGCCGCCCCTGTCCCCGCCGCTGTGCACCTTGCCAGCAGGCCCTGGGCCCGCCCGCTTTGTCTGCTACTGCGGCGAGGACGGGGAAGGAAGCTGCAGCTTCAACCTCTAGTGAGTGATCGGTCGCTGGAGGAGGGGAGTTGGGGCCACCAGGGTCCCGCCGCCTGACAGGTCTCCCGCCCTAGTGTCACGGACGCCGTGGATCTCTGGAGCACCTGCTTCACGCCGGACAAGCTGCCAGCCCTCGTGGGTAACGGGCGGGGGACCCAACACCCCATCCCTGCCCCAAGATCCCGAGGGCTCGAGCTGCTTGCGGGGCCTCGGTGGATCTGGGGTCAGCGAGTGGGGCCAAGTCAGGTGCAAAGCTGGGGCTCCCGGAGGGCCTAGGGTCCAGCCGGTTTGGGATGGGTCTCGGGCCGCGGCTGACCAGCCCCCATGCTCTGCAGAAAGCCCGCTTTGGCCTGAGTGCAGCTGAGGACCTCGCCCCGCGGTTCAAGTGAGTCCCGGAGGGACAGGGACAGGTGGGCCGGCCGGTGTCCCTCCCCCAGGCTCAGGGCTCTTCGTTCCCAGGGCAGCCTGTGAGCAGCAAGGCGTCGCCCTGACCCTGCAGGAGGACACCGCTTCCCTGACGCTCTCCGGGGGGCCTGAGACCCTGACACTTGACCTCTCTAAGGTGCCAGGCCCCCAGGCAGCCCCCCGGTTGCAGGCCCTCACCCTGGGCCTGGCAGAGCGAGTGTGCAGGCTGGAGCAGCGGCTGGCAAGTAGGCGCTGCCCTCTCACAAGTACCCCTGCCCAGGCCCCGTCTGGTCAGGAATGGACGCTGACTTGACTGCCTGCCTTCCCCAGCTGCGGAGGAGACCGCCTCCAGCCCCAGGAAGGACCCGCGGTGGGCGGGACCTCCGCTTTTTATTCCTGGTGAGGCCCACTCCCATCAGGGAGTGAAGTGGGTGGGGGGTGGAAAGTAAGTTTCCCCAGAGCAAGCCCACCCTGAGCTTCATGCTGGAGAGAGGCGGTACAGCTGGAAGCAGGAGCCCCGCTTTCCCCAGACTCGGATTCGCAGAGGGGCGGACTGGGACCAGGGGTCCGGAGGCGGGTTCCCGGAGAGTCCATAATCAACCCAGGCTTTAAGAGGTAACTCTTCCCCAAAGACGCCCTTGCCCCTGCTGGCACTGCCCTTCCCACACACCCCTCCCTCCGCTTCCCAGAAAGAAACCGGCCGCAGGTGTGGACTTTGAGGACACCTGACTGTACAGCGAGAAGCCCAGCTCCACCAGCAGGCCACCAGAGGGGGGGTGGGGGAGGGGCGCCCCCCTAGAGGCCCCCCCCCCCCCCGCCGCTCTCCTGCTGCCGCCGGCCCACAAACCTGCTTCAAGCCCCCTCCCACCAAATAAACAGCACTTGCCCTGGTCAAGGTTGGACCGGCTGGCCTTGGGGGGCTGAGCAGAGGGCGGGGACACAGGATGAAAACTGGTTCAGTCAAGGCTCAAATCTGCAGGTTCTTGGGTCTAGGACGCCGCCTGTGCAGTCCTCCACCTGCAGGCCTGGAGTCCACCTCCCACTGACAGACCTCACCCGACCACCACACAGCATGATAGTATGCGCTGTTGGGCGGAGTCACCTGTGGGAATCTCCCCCCTCCCGCCAAAAAAGGAAGAGGGGCGAGGTGGGGCTGAGGAATGCGGGCCAGTCCCCGCCCACCTGACCCGGAGCCCTAGGGTGGCCAGGGCTGTGCCCGCCTGTGCTCCCCACCCTCCTTGGCCATCCCGCCCGCCGCGCCCTGGCCCGACTGGTTTGGGAACCCAATCTAGTCCCCATCCTTGTCCTGGGCCTGGGGCGACTGCAGGCGGCCAAGCCCAGTGCTTTTGCCTGGAGTGGGGGAAGGGCTGCCCTGCCCTCCCCTCTCTCCACCCCTCACCCCTGCCCCACCCCACCTCGCCACTCGGGTCAGGCCTCCTGCAGTTGATGTCCACTGTGGCGGTGGTCATGGGGTCTGGGCCCTCGGACGTCAAGTAGACAGGCTTGCGGGCCCAGGTGTCTTTTGGGGGTTGGGATGGTGGGCAGGTGGGCTGCGGGTGAGTGAGGGCTAGCGGGGCCTCACGACGGCCCGATAGGCCGACAGGATCTCCGAGCTTCGTGGGCACGTGAACTTGAACTCCTTTTCCTGCAGCGCGTGGTCCAGATAGCGGCGGACGCCGCACAGCTCACTGGGGATGGGCGCCTGGCGGAAGTGCGCGCAGACCGTCTGCGCGAGAGCGGGTGGGCAGGACGCGTGTCAGCCCTGGCCCCTGGGAGCCCGCGCCCCCGCCCGCCCGCCCGCCGCGGGCGCTCACGTCGACGATGTGCAGCTTGGGCAGCAGCCCGCAGTCGGCCAGCGTGAGTTGGTCGCCGTCCAGGAAGCGGCGCCGAGACTGGCGCAGCTGTGGCTGGCGCTCCAGCTCATGCGCCAGGGGCGAGCACAGGTAGTGGTCCAGCCGG